TGATGTCAAGACTGGTAAGGGGAAGAGGCGTATGGACATGTATGTAACTTTTGTTTGAAAGTTTTTGCATGTACGATGATTTGACCTCTTTCTTGGCTTATATTTGGGAGTTGTGTGACAGGGATGGCTCGAGAATGGAGGCTGAGGGTGTGGCGCTCTTGTTTCGTGTAATTTTAGCTCGTAATCTCGTGATTACGTTACATTTGTGTTGATTATTGAAAACGTTTGTGAATATTTTTCTCTCTGAGGGAAAAGAATAAAAATAGGCGAGTTTTACAGGTTAGAATATTGTGTTTTCTGGGTTTGATTGCCTTGGAAACCTGCAACATATATTTCTTTTACCAGAAATTAAAGAATATATAAATTCAATGTCTGGTTTGAAGGAAACCATTTCTTCTTGTTCTGAATGAGCAGATCATTGTTTCTGTTATTTCTTGCATTCAAGAGTGCTGTAATTGTGAAGGTATGTTACGAAAAACACTTCGTGATATTTGAACATGTCACAACTTAAGGCAATTCGTCACCATTGCCTTTTACGGTTTCAATGTGATATTTTAACCCCTAGCAATTGATTAAAATCTAAAAATCAGTTGAACAAACCACACTAAGACTGGTACTTGATTGAGTAATTTCTGAATGCAGCATTGTGCAATAATACTATTAGTAGGAGAAGAAAACATAGTGCACAGGTCACTCAATTTGGATACTTCATATCACTAATCCATCTCATTTACAATCAACACCACAAAAACTGAATTACAATAAAACAAATCGTTACTATACATCTTTTCTTTTAATTATCCCAGTGGGAACACCATAACAAACAGGGGCTGCCCCAATGAGATGGCCAAGATGGCAAGCATCTCGAGCTTGACCCATAAACGATCCGATTCTCGGCCTATGATTACATATTCTCAACTTAGAGTTGCTTACAGGCGGATTACATTGAGTACACTCAGATGAAAGGGCTGATCTTTCTCTCAACCACGCATTCAGCATTGCCTTTCCAAACCTGTCAATGTCCTTATCTGTCACTTCCCACAGATTCGCAACTATAACTGGGGACCCAGCCAATATGTAGGAAATTGGGGCCCCTTGTGGTAAATAGGAGCCCTTCAGGTAAAGAGATCCACTGCTACATCCAAGAAGTAGAGTAGCAGCACAGTTGTCGAGTTTCTGAATCTCATGCCCCGGAATATATTGTGTACCTTAAAGAGATCGTATTTAATTCATTTTCAGCACAAGGATTCAGGAAAGTGTTAATTTTTTTAATATATATCTCTTGTTTAATATAATTGCCAAAACATCAGTTACAATCTTTCAAAACTAAAGACAACATCAAGTATTAGGAACACCAACACCCCTTTGAAATTAGAATTTACTTGACAGACATTTCCTTCAAAAATGTTGCAATTTGTAAACTAGAAATGAATTTATATAGGGGTAATGGTAGATGTAGGATTTTTTTTAGCAACTAAACTGAACCTAAAGGATAAAACTCTAAATTAACCATGTATGAAATTCAGAATTTGCAACTAGCTGCAAGTTTTTTCGTCGGGCATACCACTTCCATGTCCAAAATAGATGAAGAGGTCATGGTTTTTCAGGGCCTGGGATAGTTCCTCGATAGTGGGCACAGTTCCAATTTTTCCCTGTATTAAACAATTTGTGCAGACAACTATATGTTAAAAGAGAATATGGATGCCTGGGAAACAAGTTCACCGAATATTATGCGTGTGAACGAGTAATGACAAAGGAGCACACATCAAAGCAAGATTACCTCTATTCTTTGACCTTTAAACCAGCTCTCGAACTCCATCTGTGTTCTGCTGAGATCGCCATCTGGATTCAATAAATAATATGAATCTAGGGGATCTATCAGTGGGAAGGCTGAACTACTTGTCTCACATTGTTCTTGGCATCTGTCAAGTGTTGCAAAAATGCTACTTATAGAAGGCATTCGGTAAACCTCTTGATTTCTCAATATTGGTAGGCTCTCCCATGGAAGCATCTGCAGAAAAAAAATTGTGAATCATGTTATAATGGAGGCACTATGTGCACACGAAGTGCAAAGAGGTAGATGAACTTAGTAAATTTAATTTATCAGTTAAGTTAATTGGACATAATAATAAATAAATAACATCTAAGTATTGCAGAATATGAGGCGAGTTATGGGCTCTGATTCTTGTGGCGCGCGACCTATAATCTAAAATATTGTAAATGCCTCTCAGCATAGAGGACAATCATGCATCTCGAAACAATATTAACTGCAACTTACAAAACCAGAACTTATGGTGAAGAATAGAAAAATAATAAAAGGATAAACAGCTGGAAGGAAAGAAATAAGTGGAGAGTTGGACATCAAGGATACAGAAAACAACACAAACCTGCACATCGAAGTCCAAAACCAAAATGATAGGTTTTCTGTTGTATTCAGCCTGGTCAAAATTGTCAGACATTTCGAGCACTCTTTTGAACAATAACTGTACTGTGTTATCGAATTCATCCGAGGATTTGGAAGATGCTTCACACCTCAGACCAACATAACATTTTTTTGTTACAACAAGCTCCAAGAGACTCTTCTCATCTTTAGAGAGGTTCTTTTGTATAGAGTCTAGATAGTTGCAGTCCAGCCATTCACCTAGAAGCACGTGCTTCCAAGGACCAAGCCACAAGTCTTCCATATCCCTGGTACATCAAGGCATTTTGACATTACATCACTTAAACGTAGTGATTTTGGAAGGATAGATAATCTCATTGTTTGTATAATAAAATAGTAGATTTTAGAACATGTATGTGTCCCACATCAATTAATTATTGGGTCGTTAGTATGTATATCTGTGGGTTAGGCACCTTCTCATTATTAACAAGCTTTTGGGGATGAGTTTTACTCAGGCTCGTTTATCGTGTTATCAAAGCAACCAAGTTTGTTTGTTTGAAGGTGATGCGAGATTTGGATCGGACCCAATTGGACTTGCACCTACACGTGAAGGTGGTATTAGAAGTTATGTTTGTCCCACACCTTCTCCCTTTGAACTACCTTTTGTGGGTTAGTTCTCCAGACCCATTTATAAGTAGAAATAAAGCCAGTTGTAAAGAAAATTTTAACTCTTGTTACAAAATCTGCAAGGATGGACTTTGTGTATAAGTTGAATATTAAATGCTTTAAACTAGAGCAAACATCTGAACTCGTTCGTGTTGTTTTTTCTTGGAGGGTTTGGGGGTGGTAGTAAGTTGCCAAAAATCATTGTAAATCAAGAAAAGCTTCAGAAAGAAAGCATTCAGAGAATGAGATAGCTGAATCTTACTGTAGAAAGTTGCTCAGGCATTGATCAAGGCTGTTCCTTTGTGCCCACCATAATGATGTGCTTTCTTTAATACATTCAAGGAAATAGTCCGAGGATGAATAGTAATTTCCCTCAAGTACATTTCTGAACACTGGCGCTATGTCATCAATCACAGAGGAGACCCAGGGGCACTGCCACTGCTTGACACAATCTTTGCAGTTGATGACAACTGAGCTTGAACTAGCATCATCATCTAAAGCATCTCATTAAATAATGAAACAAATTAACGTCAGCACTAAGGATGATTATCAATATGCATAAGATTTCATATCTACAAAATATCTGAACTGAAATACCTTCCAATATTTTGTACACAGGTAAAAGTACAACATGCTGATTATCTGAGCTCAGATGGGATAAGAGAATCCATGCTCTAACAGTTGGAGAACAGCACAAGAGTTCACTAATCAATGTACCATCAGCTCCGGCAATAATGCTAATGCAGATGACTGGAGTTGGTGGCAGGCCCTCAAAAAAATTTTGAACAAATTCTTCCAGATCCTCGGAAGACTCAGGGGCAGACCTGGAAACAAGAGGTTAAAGGGGCAAAATCTATAACAATATTTCAAGATACAAAATAATTAATTATCAGATAATAACCTTAGCGAACAAGATATGTCGGGAATGGTTGACTCCGAGTATAGAAGAGAAGAATCCTGGAAATACAAGTCATAAAAGAATGCTTACCCAGTGATCAATTTATCAATATTTCAAATTTGGCTGAAATAAGATCCATTCTAAAATTATATTGCATTGGTAAAATGCAAAATAATAAACCACATCTATGACTTGATACTTTTGTATCTACTCATTTGAGACTTATAACGAATCACAAAGTTATTAGGAAAAAAAAAAGGACAAAAAAAAGCAACTTCAAATGCTAAAATGTTTACATTGAATGTATGGAAAGGGCACACATGATCATCCATATTTGAAAACATGGAGATGGAGATATTAGTGTCATTGTGATCCATACAGCTACTGCGGTTCTATAGGTTTTTTATTTAGACATGTTAGCCCCAGACTACTACATTTGAATGCATTTAACAGCAAAATCCAGAATGCAAATTGATAGTACTTAAGAGGTACTGTAAATTAAGCGTGTAACTAAAACTATATCGATCAATTAAGCACGACTTATTAAGTAGATACTTATTACAAGAAACAAAAATATGCTTGAAAGATGCTTCTGGAAGTTGGAGAAACAAAATTTCCAGGAGTCAATACCTCAGAATCTGCAACGACTTGGGTTTGTTTTCTCTGCATGATGTTATATACAATTTGCTGATTAAGATGGGTTCCTAGTGATGCCTGATGGAAGAATGAACCCAACCGGCTTTCGAAACCTTCATCACATGGAGATATAGACCATTGCTTCAATGAGGTAGAAAGTACATAAACGGTTGCCAGCAACCTGGATATCTGTCAAATTATCATGCTTGGTCACTGGTCAGAGAAAATTATTGCCAGCTATTGGGCCACTAGTTAAGTAGAGTCATCTCCAAAATTATGATCTCTTAATATATGATAGTAACCAACAAATATTGCCTACGATTCATGTCCAAATTTGTTTCTACTGTACTATTTTCAAGAATGTAGACCACTGAAAAAACAATAAACAGCTCTAAGAGTCAGAGTTCGATAATATCACAATCTTCATCAGCATATTATATCACACCACAATATTCCAGTGACTTCCTCATTACATCCATCAGATATCAATGCTGTTTACATTGCACAGCATCAGTGAACAGTCAAATTTTATATAGGGCATGGCTACCATGGTAGAAAAGAGTTGCATGGGAAAGCTAGTTTTGCACCAAACTGATATCCACATACTTCTAAATTTACACTGTTCAAGGTAGCAAAAACTATACTACTTGATTTAGAAGTGTCCATGAACAGTGCAACATCATCACACCATTTTCGGATATTTAAGCCTCACCTTATTTTCAGCCTTATTCCATAAAGTCACCCGATATACTGCAATGAGTAGTCTAAACAAGATCCCCAGTACATAGAATATTTGGTTAATTGCATGCTTCCGGATTTCTCAATTTAAGGTGGAGCAGGGTGGATAAACCTAGTTTCAATTTCTTAGAATTAACAGACCCGCAAAAGAGCTTTTCTTGTTCCTTTGCAGATCTGCATTTTAGGGATGTCTTTTTCATGGCCAATACATCTGTTATTGTATATATAGATTATGCATCTCAGTCAGGATATTATTATGATTCCATAGATTAGGGCATTGATCTTTTCCTTACTCATTCTTATATTCCTAAATATATGTTGTACTCCTTTACTGTTAGATATAAGAAGATATCAGCTTTACATGGTATCAGATCAAACAAGAAAAATCCATTAAGTTGAGCCTCAAACCAAGTGGATTTCATAGTTCTTCCAACGTTTAGGTATAGCACACCAGTAAATTGAAAACATGAGAAGTGCAGGGGCTTACCTTTTGAAAAAGTACAGGGATTTCCCGACAAAGTGTGAAGGACAGCTTCAACAAGGAAATAATCCTCACTATCCCAATCCCAGATAGCTCACAGCAGAATTTCCTGTTGTCAAGATATCAGAACAGTTGAACCAAAGGCAGGAACTGCACAAATTCTCGTATTTTGACAAAGGAAACTGAAGCTTATCGGTCATTAGTTGAAAGAACTAACTTAATGAAGAAAATGGAACTAAATTAATCTGAAAGCAAAGGCATTAGTTGGTGGATACCTGCTACGCTGGTTAGGATAACTTTTCAAAGTGAACCAGCATATATAATAAAGGAGTGCAGCACGTTCAACTGCCAATGTATCTCCAGGAAAATGCTTTCCAATTGACTCAATTAAGGAAGTAAGGGAATCTGAAGAGTACTTGGAACAATTTGAGTTTCTTCTGAATAGAACTGATATGCTTTGCAATAAAATTTCATGAGCTTCATGAATATCGCCACATATTCCAGAAAATTTCCCTGCACACAGATTAAAGATAAGAATAGAGGACTACAGAATGACAGAATTTATGTCATTAAAGTGCGCATTGTAAAGCAGACAGGCTATATACTCTGCTGTAATGTACACTTGGTACATCTGTTTGTGAAACATGTAAAAGAAGTGCCTACATCAAAATAGCATATAATATAAGTGAAACAAAATACAATGAAATAGACTAGAACTAATTGACAAGCATCTCATCTCAAAATGGATGGCAGCAATCACAAGACATGTCTTCTCACATCAAATATTTTGTTGCAAGGTCATTTGGCTGACGAGAAAGGCAGCAAGGCAGAAACCAATCACATTGTGTATGTGCTAGCGAATATTATAGCATCTTAGTAATAGCCCTAAGAAAATGGCTTCTGTAACTCGACAAAATATTCTTGGCGAGATAAGTGCATGCCTTGTATAATTTAAAGCAAAAGGAAGAGTCTAGGATAGTGATTCTGCTATTTGATCAGTTTGTGACATATTCATCCACAGAGTTTTTACTTAAGTTCCAGTCATCAACCAAACAGTGGAGAACTGATTTTCAAAGATGCTGTGTCGTCTGATGACATTTACAAGACAATCTAAGTATAAGGATTGATTAAGCTTTATCTGTAGGAAACTGTTTTACCAAACGTTTTCCAATATAAGAAATAGCAGATTCAAGTTAACAAAGTTTTCCTTGTAAGAAAATGGACAACAAAGGTCAAAGCTCACAATTCAAACAAAATATGAAAAATCTCAAGAGGAGATTTTGAACAAGACTGCTATACCTATACTAATGAGTACTCGTAAACAAAGCTTTCTGTAAACCAGCTCCCATTTTGTCTGTATGAAATTATTCAGACTGCTGCATTCAACAGCTTCAATGTGAAGACAGTGCCAACACTTAAATTTGTTGCAAAGGGACAGGATGTCACTTTGAAAATCAGCAGCAGAACATTTTGATTCAGAGTTCCGCACACTATGATCAGATCCAACAGAAGCAGTAGACAAATGCTCAGTGGCCAAATCAGCAGCCGGACTAGTTTGTCTTTCATTTGTGACAAGCTCACAGGTTTCCAATAAAGGCTGACGGGTGGACCGAGTAACCCTACGGTTACGACCACAAACCATGTCCTGTTTCTGAGAGGCAGGTTTCAATTCCTTCTTTGTCCTTCTAGATCTTCTGGGTTCAATTCTAAGTTCAGATATCTCTCTTATGACCTGCTCAACAGCAGCTTCTTCAGAAGTAGAGTAGCAACTCCTCCAGTCGGTCAGGTTTAGGTTGTCCAAGGCTGACTTATACAATCTTTTTGCATTAAACAACCTCTTTGGAAAAGGCGTGTCCCCAGTACTGCAAGAGCTGCTCAAGAATAAATCTCCAATTTGCCGATCGATAGAACTTTCCAACATAAGTACACATTTTTTGCAGGAAATGATGTGAAGGTTGTCGGCCAGAGTTTTCTTAGCACTGGACAATTCTTTTTCAGCATTGCTCCAGAGCTTTTGTTTGTGGTATAGTTTTCCTGATCAGATTCAAATACAGGAGTACAATGATTTTCAGCACAAGCGCAACATTCTCATTCATGGTGAACTAGGAAAAAATGACACAATAAGCGACATACCCAACATAGAAGAAAAGGATATTTCAAAAAGTGGCAAGCCCTGAAACTGGGAGACATTCCGACCCCACCGTAAAAGCATATCAGCCTCAGTTACATTTCCGAGTATCTCGTGGACACATCCAACCTTGACAAGCAGTTGATATGCAATATATTACGCAAACCATAAGTTTAACAAGAAACTTCAAACGGCTTGTTTGCAGTGATACCTGTAATAGGCTTTCAAGGTAACAACTCAAGACATTCCATGGAGTAAGGATGCAGCCTTCGTAATCGCAAGAGCCTTTCATCACAATGGTATCAGCAACTCTAAAGGTGTTGATGCCAAAGTAACTCTTTTCAACGATTATCCCATTCTCTTGAAATGTTTCAAACATTTTCTCCACTGAATATTCAAATTTTTGTTGTAACAGTTTACTACGCAAGCGATGAGCCTCTTTTGCATATGTAAGAGCCTATAATATGTAAACCTAGTTAAAAAGATAAATTCCGCTGCAGAATGAGTATCTCAGTGGAATACGTGCATTCATCAAGGAGCAAGATCATCTACAAAATATAGAATTCAATGAACTACAATGTGTGTCGAGATATCCAACTTGGTTCACAGTTATGGAAGTGGCACATGTGCATATATATGTGTGTGTGCGTGTGTGTGGGTAGGTGAGTGTGTGTAGTAAGCTTTAGTAGAGAGAAATTATAAGTAATGTTCTTACAACTCTTCAAATACAGAAAATTAACTCATGGCTAATGTATGCTTGCAGTAATCACAAACAATCAAAATTGATAAGTGTCATCTGCCAACTTAGAAGGATGATGCACAAAATTCTGGTTTCAACTAGACACAGGCTATAACCATTGATTAAGTAATAAACAATGGAGGGGACCAAATATGAATATAATGAAATTCTTTTAGTCGGTTCAAATGAAGCAGGACAGCATCTACAGCAAGTCTGTTTTTTATTTAATTATTTTCAACACATACCTTTATCAACATCATTAGTGTTATTCTTGGATGACAAAGTCAAACTTTCCCTGGTTTCCGTTATTTTAAAAGCTAAAATTATCAGCCACACAATCAATAAGAGTGCAGCTGGTCATTATCTAATTAATGTTGCAAGTTTATAATCATTATAATACCACACATACATTTGCAGTTCAGGACCAGAAAATGGCACTACCATAGAACAATTACCACTTGGAAAACAAAAATTGTATATATTTTGAAAGAAGCACCTCAATTTTCGTTACCTCAGTAATTCTTCCACTTGACATCAGTCTTTCAGACAAATCATAGTAGAGATTCGACGAAAGGAACATTGAACAACTGGAGAGTGGAACCTACCATATAAAATTAGATAAGACAACAGGTGGGATAAACTTTATAGATAAATGTAGAGAAGTGACGTCCGAAATTACAAGAGGATCGTACATTGGAAATTAGACCAGAGGCTGCTTGCTCAATCTCACTATTGTTGTGATGAAACCCAACTGCAAGTGGCTTCAGTTCCTCCATGAACATTTTCCAAAATTCGGCAGAGCTACAATCTCGGCTCTGGTGCTTAGAAAAAGTTTTGACAAAAATATGATTTACAGGTGAAGCACAGAGGGCATGACCGAGCCTTTTACTTCTCCAGAGCTCAGATACAGTCGTCAGGAAAGAAAAGTTCTTCCCATTGAATAACTTGATCACAACATCATACAAGATAGGGTGACTTTCCAAGTATCCCTGACGAAAGGAAACATAGATGTAAGTTGCAATGAAACAAACATATCAAGAAAATTCTTATGACAGGAGACACAAAAAAAATAACTCTTACTTTGATGGATAAGAAATCGATGAGCTGATACCACAAATAAAGCATGTCTTCATATTGTTCCTCTGCATGGCCATGATCTGGGCTCAGGCAGAGATTCAGTGCAGTGTTAACATCATGAAGAAAGCCACTGTAAAATAAAACCAGTAAAACATCAATGACAGATATGTTTCCGGGAAATATCAACTAATCTAATATAACCTTCTGAGATTTATTTATTTGAACCAAGAACACTAGCCTTTCAGGTGATAAAACGAGTGTGCTGGGTGATGCTTCCTGGGTGAACAAAGCATGCAAAATATAAGCATGCACAAGCAGCCGATGAACCAGAGAACAACAACTCTTTCTTGCACCACATATTGACTTCTGTTTTTGAAGATGTTCATGTCAAACAAAATGAACAGGTAAGAACAATCAATCCAGTACCAAGAAGGAAATAGTATCATGCTTCTCACCAATATGGATATTGCTTCTGATAGACATTTGATACACTCATCAAGTCGTGCTAATCCATAAACTCTTAGTAGTTTCCCCTTTTGTAGGAGAGTTTTAGACTTCATTATATTACTGTCTTTTGTAACATAAACCTCTTCTAAGAGAACACCAATGATTTTCATTCGCATTCTGAGGCCATATCCAGGATTTATGTAACTCTTTTCATCATATGCAAGAAGCTCCTAATAAATTCCAAGAGATGATAGTACATCAAAACCAAAGGATGGTAATTATAGAGCATAAGCATGTGAGTGTGTGAGAGGAAGGGGTTAGGGAGGGAAAAAACCTCTTCCAATAATCTCCCAAGAGACTTCTTAGATATTTCTTTAGGAGATGCAAGCAAAGAATACAGCATTATGCCATCCTCTGAATCTGCATCCTTTGACAGTAGATATTGTATCTGCAACAAGGTTAAAGACAGATATGGTTAGCGTCCAAATAGTTAAATCCTGCATCAAGCCACTGAATTACCTTCACCCACTCCTTAACCAAAGAAACGGGAGTTGGTAGTATCGCAATCAAATTTTCTGAAATGGACCAGCATTTAAGGCTTTCTTTAATGATTCCATTTATCTTGTAATAAGCATCTTGATTGAGTTCCAGAAGGAAAGCAACTTTTCCAGAAGCCTCAGTAACAAAATCTGCAATGTCCTTTTCCGACAGATCATCATGAGACACTTGTGACTTGTTGACATACACTTTACAAAGATCTACCACATTGTACCAGGCAGCTTTACAGCATAATTTCAAAGCTTTTGTTGCCTGCGCATAATTAATGAAGGCACACAATGTTAACAACCAGATACAGGTAAGTCCACAAGCATCAAATTTCTAGACCCATAAATGCTCACATGACCAAACAAGCAAGGTAAATGTCCGTTTTGCATTGAATACAAGAAAATACATGTAGGATTGTGTTCTCGTGAATTCATTATGGAATCGACTAACCATCAAAGGCATTCAGTAAGTATTTCATGACATTGTCAAGTGTTTGACCAGTGCACTTTAGGCATCATTCAGATGGTTTTTCAAGAAAATAACTCAAGAGCCAGTAAGTGAGTACATACAACTCCAAAATGACTTTTCTAAGAAAATAAACTTTCCAAAAGTCTCTTTAGCTTCTGTTACCTACTTAAATTATTTGCCTTGAGCAAGATCAACTTCTGTGCATTGATGATAATTCGATAGAAAATTCAAGAAGCAAAATGGGAGTGGGTTTGCGCGTTTTCATTCTACCACAAACTCTACTTAACTGTGCATGCCAATAAAATCACTTCACATTGCAGGCATCAGATTATTGGGTAAACTAACATTACAAAACGGTGTTTCAGCCACATGATGAAGCTAATGAAAACTGAAAACTGATGGACCTGGGAGATAACGAAAGGAAAAAGAGAGAATATCGATAGTACCTCCTTCAGCCACTTTTTCCGGTTTAAAATTACAGCTATGTTGTTGAGACAAACGTATAAATACTTAAGCCTTTTAACCGGAACCCACTCAGTCAAAATAACATTCTTCACCAACAGTGTGCTTTCCTGCAAACATCAGATGGCAAGACAGAAGTCACAATGTTGAATGAAAAACAAAAATACAACAAAATAATGTTCTTGTGTATCGTGAAATTAAACCTTAATATTTTGATTAGTCTTCATTGAGAGCATAAGAGCAGCAACAACTACAACGGAGATCACTCTGTGGTTGTCTCCAGATGTCTCTCTCTCCCTTTCATTCGAACTACATCCATAAAAAAAGTACACCGTGTAGGTCAAGATGTAATATTAACTTAAATGTTTATACCTTCAAATATACAGAAAAGCCCCCGCAGGAAGCTTATTTTAAGCAACTAACTATATTTAAGGAAACATCTTTCTGTTCAGCCCAACTCACATACCTGAGACATTGAAGGAACATATAGCAAAATTGATGAAATGCATTGTGGATACTGCTTAAATCATCCAAATAACTCTCTGCCTCTGAGAAAAAATTATTCCTATTGGAATAGATGGACTCTGCAAGTGACTGACAAAAAAATTTGAGTGCTTCCCAGTAAGGTGAGTGTGATATTCCGTTGTTATGACAATCCTTTTCTTTGGCACCAATGCCAAAGTAGTCATTCAAAAAGCTAATTGAAGCTGCAACTTCTTGAAGCCATTCGTGGTTATTCAGCAGAAACTGAAGAGCAGATCCCAGTGGAGTCTTATTGCAATTTCCTGTTTCCTCCCCTTTTGACTGATTCTTTGACGGACTTGCTAATAATCCACTAGCATAAAGCCTCATAATAGAGCTGATGAACAGCAAATCCTATAAAGGAAATGCACTTATCTTTTCAAAGTAAGCATAACAATTTTATAAACTCATGTGGGATAATACGAGAAGCACTCAACTTGAAATGCGAAGTAAGTACCTTACGAAAACGGCCAGCTAATCCAGACAACAGTTTCGCAACAGGATCACGTAAAATGACAGGTACACTATGACATTTATTTGCACAATAACATACAAGTTCCAGAAATCCAAGTGTTGGTTTTTCCTCTCCAACCTGCCATGCAAAAGTGAAGCATATTCAAATAGCAGCATACAGGCCAAAAGTTTAACTAAGAGTGCTGATGGACAAAAGTAAACAAAGACTTTCAAGCACTAGCTAATATGAAGACGTACTTTCATAATACTATATACATAGATGGGTGGGAAGGTGTTATATTTGTAGTAATGTAGTTAGCAACCTTAGAGCTGGAAGCAGAGCTGTAGTTGTAGAATCAACTTTCAAATACTCTGATGGCTATCATTCTTTATCAGCCCTATTTTTTTTACAATAAGATGTCACTAAATTGATGGTGCAGGAAATGCTGCATACCTCAAGAGTAATGTTAACTAAAGGTGACACTAGGTAAAAAACCTTTCTACATCTGTTTGTCCACTGATACTTCACCCCCTACCCCCCACCCCAATACTTTAAAACAAAAAGCTTTTTCGCCTCAGCTAAAAGGAATGGTCATAGATAGCATCAAAAAGATATAGAACACTAGAATATAATAGATGTCAAGAATGAAAATTATTGAAAACACTATGAAAATTGTATGTTCACTGGAATGCATTAGGATAAAAGCTGAGATACAAGAATATCTTATTGTCGCAATATGACTGAAAAATGATCTTGCAGACAGATAAATTCAGTATTGAAAACACTGACAAACTCTAAAACATCAAAAGTGCCTCATTCTGCAGGGAAGCTAAAAAATGTATCTCATAATGAAAATTAAAGTGGTCGGAGAAAACAGTCACCAGAATCCTCACCGTGATGCCATTAGTAAAAACAATTAAGAAGTAATAATTGAAACGAAGTCGCCTGTAGGCTATTCCAGCTGTTAAGATTGAAAAGGAGCTAAGACAGATGTTTATATAAGAGCAACCTAAGAACTTTCAAGCATCTGATTCATGGTAATCCATATCGAAATTCATGTTCCAGCAGCAAAAGGCTCTTTAATTGAGTGATACTACCTTGACTTCCTCTGAGTAATTGGCCCAATTATCCTACACTGTTGAAAGATTAATCTTCTGCTTTAAAACTATGTTGAATCCTACAGATCTCTACGTCCAGCACAAAAAAAATGGTCCTTTTATGTGAAAATATCAAACAAATGTAAGTATAAAATTGCTGGTTATGTTATGGAATTTATTGAGCCATCAAGATCAGAATGCCTCAAGACACCATGTTTTAGCAGCCTCTAACTTTACATTTTTTACCTTTTAACTTATTGTAAAAAGACACTTAAAGAGCGAGAAAATTTCAAGGGAAATATCTGAAGACCACATCCAAGGCATATCCAGAAAAGCGCGTACTAACAATTCTTATCCAAGTACATGGTTAGATCCATTGATTTTGGTTAGGCAAATCTTGGATTTGCTGAAATTCCTAGCAGCCTTTTTATAGGATTCTCTCCACATGTACGTAGTGAAGTTGAACTCGCAACGTAACTACAATGTATATTCAGTGAAAAATAGCAATTACAAATAATTACTAATTAGTTATTATCTTCCACACAAAAATACCTTGCATTCAGCAGCCATCATATCCAAGATATGTTTCAACACATCAATAATGATATTAGTTGACAGCTCGTCCCTTTGAGAAAATAAGGACGAACAAATCTTGAGTGCAACCTGTGACAATAGGGATCAAAAGTTATAAGACAAAAGAAGAAAAATAAAAGAAAAGAAAACGATTCTATCGTATAATAACACTTAGGAATAAGATAGTCTAGCAGAGCTAAATCCAGGTAGTCCTAACCTTTTTCATTTGATCATGATTATGCGATTTCTTGTATTCTTTAATGGAGGCCATAGTGAACTTCTGTACCAAATCCATTCCAAAAGATTTTATCTCTGCTACCAGAAATAGAGCGATTATATGCAAATTTGTCTCCAGGAAACGATGGAACTTCTCGTAGTCTTTGGCATCCAAAATCCTGACATGTTCACATCATGAGAATCAACTTTACAAGTTTGACAATATAAAATCAACTTAATCGTGTACAACTCAGAACCACTAAAAACAGCACTTGCATAAAATTCACAACTTCAATAAACATACATAGAGAGATACAGATATGCTTCTATTTAAAGCAAAATGTCAACATACACAATCTCAAATCAGTGCATACAATCATACTTGAACCATGGCTCCGATTCGTTCACCAACAAAATTACTCTCCAATAATCAGCATCCACTTCACTCCTCCTCTTTGACGCACATTTCACCAGTGTCACAACAATCTCTAAGATAATAGCCGCAACTTCTTGATCCACATTGTCCTTGTCTAACTCAGGAACCAAACGCGCCTTTGACTTTCTGGACTTACTCTTTGGTCCTCCTACAATCTCACGTAAGCTCTCAAGCACATCAAAACCCTCAGCTTCCGCCTCCTTATACAGCTCCCAGTGCTCCAGACAGTGTACGTACCGAATTCTCTGCACCTGAACAGAATGGGGCTTTCCGGCAAGCTCCGGTGAAATCAGGTCAAGGCAGTTGAGGCTGAGGCGGTAGCTATCAAACAATTCCATGGCGGATTCCCGAGGAATTGGAGGGGATTCGGTGAGGCGTTTGGGCAGGAGGGAAAGGGACTTGTGTATGAACGATAGGAAATGTTTGGCGAGGGGGCGGATGGAGGGGGGGTCGTCCGGGGGTTTAGATTTTGAAACTTTCGCTGGTTTTTTTACGGCTGAGGCGGAAGGCTTGAAGAAAGGGGTGAAAGGGTGGAGGTGAGCGGCGATGATGCGGTGGATGCCGGAGAGATCCGTGGCTGACTGGAGTTTGTCGATGATGGCGGCCTCCGTATCGCGTTCCATTGCAGCGGCGGCGGGTGAGGACGGCAGTGTTGGGAGTTAGTGCGCTTGGTGTGTGGATGAAGAGAAGGAATTTTGGGCTGAGCGGGAAAAAGGAATGTCAATATTTTTGGTTTGGGGAAGAGCGATTGCATAAAATGAAAGGGGGCGACATTTATGACGTTGACAAGATAAGAATTTGAATTTTTAGGAAATCCATTTATTTACTAATGTAGGATTAGAGCATCTCCAATGCTCAATGTTGTAGTGCCAAATTACATCTTATATAATAAGAATTAACATTTATTCAAAATAGTAGGTCAAATTATGGTCAATGTTGGATTTGCATTAAATATTTTTCAAAACCGGTAAGTTTTTGTCCTTTTCACACTTCTCATTAATTATGTCTTTTTCACACTTCTCATTAATTATGTCCTTTTCACACTTCTCATTAATTATGTCTTTTTCACACTTCTCATTAATTATGTCTTTTTCACACATCTAATTAATTAATTAATTACGACATAATTATCATAAATCATTCCATCTAAGCTTTTATCGTTAAAATGTATAGCGATCTGTTATGACCTTATCCCATTGATATTTCCATGAAGCGTCCTTATCGCGTTCTATTTTTTGGTAACCACTCTATATTAATAACCGAATATTTGGTTAATGATAGCACACGTCTTTATTTCAAGGAGCGGATATTCTTTGACCTTTAATTAATCTGAACAGATTGCCTTGACTTTTCAATTTTTAAAAACTCTTTTTTTAAATATTTCGGCTTAAGATTCGGATTTCATTATACAAGTCATCGGATTGTTTGAATGAAAATGAATGAAAAGAACACCAAAAACAGGTAGCCTTATTCATATAATCAATCCTAACATATTAGTTTGTTCACCAAAAAGAGACAAATTCTAGAAATCCTAAAATATTAGTTTGTTCATCAATCCTAAAATATTAGTTTGTTCACCAAAAATATTAGTTTGATTTTTAGGATTTGTCTCTTTTGAAAATATTAGTTTGTGATAATGAGGAGTTACTAAATAATCAAATTCATAATGTTGTGTATAAGGAGATTTTTAATAATATATGATTGTTACCGAACTTTTTATGATTAAACAATGTTCCTATGTATTTTAATGATTTCAATTTCGATCCTAATGCACGTGGGATTATATTATTCTTCCAAATTTTACATCCCGTGCATCGCACGGGTTACGTACTAGTTCCACATTAACACATTTATTAATATCACAACTTTTCATCCTCCAATGTACAAATATTGTGATGATGTGAACATAATTAATGTCTACAATGTAGAGAAGAATGTGGTTCATCCACATTCTCCTCCACACTCTAGTTAACCAATCCACACTCTAGTTAGCCAATGAAGAGAAGAGAGAGAATTACTATTACCATTTTTAAACTATTTAATTATTTAATTAATTTTATTAATTCATATTAAAATTTTAATATTTGGTAAGTAGATAATATTGTAATTTGATTACATTGTGCCATTAATATGATTTTTTAATTTAATAGTTGTGAACTCAACATTTATCCTACATGGTTCACAATCTATTTAATTTTTTGACATTTGTCAAAATTTATCCTACTACAATATTAGAGCATTGGAGATGCTCTTAGACAACACAATCGTCTTTCAGTAAATTTTAGTTGTAGGTCACATAATATGCTTTCTATTTTGTGAAAGTCTTGACAACCTACATGGATGTTACGTGATATTCACATGTTTCACTAAAATTGTATTGCAATGTATTCATTTTAGGGATGGCAACTTGGCTTGTCCTATTTGTAAAACGGGGCAGGGCGGGTTCGCCCCGTTAAAAAAAGGGGCCAGGTCCGGATCTTTATGTATCGCCTCGCCCAGACCCGACCTGGCCCAGTTGTTTTATATATGTATTTATGTGTGTGTGTGTGTGTGTATATATATATATATATATATATATATATATATAAGAAGAATTTGGATCATATGAGAATGATAGATAGTGAAAGAAATGAAAATGAATCTGTACTGTCGGATCCATTACATCAATGGTTACTGCGGTCTGAAGCCATCCCCGCCAACGACGAACTCATCCTTACTGCAGAAATTGGCGTCGCTTGGAGCAGTGCGGTTGCCGCCGTGGTAGGGGAGTACACGACCACATTGCCGGCCGCCGCCGTGTCGCTGGAAGAGACAGGGTTTTCGCCGGAGGAAGTAAATCTGGCTGCGGATTTTGAGGAAACAGACATGACTAAACGAGAAAATGAAGGAAAATGAAACAAAAAAGTAACTTACCGAAAAAAGGTTCTCGGAAAGCTCTGCAAATTGCCCGGGGATGTTCTTGTTCCAGAAGTCCGTTCGCTCAAGAAATTTGCAAAGGTAAAAGCTGAAAAAATGCTAAGGATCCCACATGTATAAAAGAACGCAACCAATCAGGTTGCGACACGTGTTTAGTCGTTCAAAATTCAAAATTTGAAAAGTTGAAAAAGTTTCGAATCGGGCGGTTACAATGTTCCGGTCGCATGGTTAGGGAGCGGCCACGTGTACGCCACGAGGAAGACCATTGAAATGACACGACTTTTTAGATCCGACCATAAAGTGATGAGTGTATGCCGCATTAAATGCACGACTCTTTGACTAGCATCATCAACGTGCGTAACTGTTGGCGCGGGTCCAGCCCACGCGTTATGAAGGAAGACGGTCTAACCACCCAACTCGGAGCTGATCGTGAAGAGACGACCTCAGAAGAAATGTCAAGGACCTCTCATCTAAGCTTGGCGGCCTGTATGTTGATATCCGAGTTGAACTATGAGGGACCCATAGATCGAGAACGGAAACCCGAACGGTGACGAACTATAAATTCGGGTCGACTCTAGGATCATATAGGTGCCGAGCTAGATGAAAAACAGAAGGGAAACGATTAATAAGTGGAATAGACTTTAAGAACGGCACCCTATCACTTGGGAGCCGATGTCAATCTCGTCGAATAACCAAGCTGAGGCACGAAGATCCTGAAGACCAAGAGGTGAGGATAATTCAAGCCCAAGTGAAGGTCCAACCTGGATATCCGTCAAGAGCGGCCTTGGCACGCGCGTACGATTCGAAAAATCATATAATATTACCACTTGTCCAACAATAATTACTGATGGGACGTGTCACCTTAGACTGCCATTCTAGCGCATATAGTTCAGTAGGATGGCCTGTCAGCATTAAACCCACTTGTGTGCATTTAATGCCTGACAGGTAATCACTGAAAAAACCTCAGACCACATTTAATAGTTGTGAGAGCGGCTCCGGTCTGTCATTCTGAATTACTGTGCGAAATGACAGGATGCAGTGCATGAATAGTGTCAGATTAGGTTTACTATAAATAGTTGATCACTCTCATTTATTAAGGGTTGTTAACTCCTCCACCAACTTATTATCTCTTTACACTCTCTCAATACTGTAATAAATTCCCGTAATTATTCTAACTGTAATAAAAGAGCCGACCTCAATCTCGGAGGCCGACCTCGTATCTAAAGCAATAAAGTTCATTTCCTTCGTGAACTCTTTTATTTTACCCATTTTACTACGTATAAATCTTTTATTAACCATTAACCGATTCTCATCGTCAATAGTTTGACACTAGAAGGAGGATACCATAATTTGCTTGGTGTCAATTTCTCGACTTTGTGGAACACTAACATTGATGTGTAGCAGCGGATAGATATCCTTTGGGAAGAGTACGCATCCATGAAACTCATTAGCTCGTGACCTGAGGTGGCATAGACCATATAGTCGACGTGGGGCAGCAGATAGCTATTCTTTGGGCAGGCTTTGTTGAGGTCGAAAAAGTCGATGCAGAGCCACCATACCCCGCTGCTTTTTTTCATAAGTACTGGGTTCGCCACCCAGGTCGAGTAGCGGAACACTCTAATGTACTCATTGTCCTTCAACTTGATCACTTCTTCTTCAAGAGCTTGTTGTCGGTCGAGGCCGAGCTTCCTTATTTTTTGGATGACCGGCCTGACCGTCGGGTCGACCTGCAGCCTGTGGCAGGCGACCCTCGGGTCAATGCCGACCATGTCCTCGTGAATCTAGGCAATGACATCGGCATTCTCCCGAAGGAATTGTGTAAGTTTGGTTTTGATGGGCTCAGGTAACTTGCTTCCAATCCTCAGTTGCTCCTGGCATGTCTCTTCATCGATGAAAATTATTTCCACCTCGTCCATTGGTTCGGCTCTCTTCGTGCCCCTTTTCTCCTGGTACTGTGTTCGGGGATCGAGCTCATCCTCTTCTCCTTGTACTGCATTTAATCTTCTTCATACACTGACTAAAGCATTTGAGGCTCTTTGCTGGAGAACCCCTCCGGTGTGAGAGTTCTGCAGGTTCGAGGATGTTCAACCGGCGATCTGTTCGAGCTCTAGGCGTTTGTAGCTCGTTCTAGCCGGTCGGAGGTCATTTCGATACCACTAACAATAAATAAAAGGAATAAATAGCTAAATTCAAGATCCCAAAGTTCTTATTTGTCCTTATCTCCATCACAAATTCACACATTTTTGTTAACATTTTGTAAGTTGAGTTCCACCGAGTGGGAACATTAGGCCAAATTTTTTGGGTGTAAAACCAAACTTCTACAATTGTTTTTTCGATTTTTCCATTTTTTTAGGCCGACGGTGCAAATACATAACAACCTCCCTAATGATTGTAACCGACTCTTTCAAGATTGAACATGAATATAAGGACATGAAAAATACACCGAATATAAAAAAAGTTATTACATCCACAAAAAGGATGAAAAAATTGTATAATTTCAGGTAAAGAAGCAGTATTAGCACTAGCGGTGTAAAAAGAAATGATGTTTTGTACCAATTTTGTATGTATTCAACAAATGCAATTAAATGAGCTGACATTATAAGAAGTGTGCAAGTCATTAAATTCGTGTAAGCAATTAAATATTTTGTAAAACTATTATCAACCTAATGACATAATTTTTGTATAATAATTGTCTAGCAAATGATCGGACCAAATATCACGAATAGAGACTCTTTGATTTAGATTTTCAAATTCTTGCGTCAAAATTATTTTTTTTCCATCCTCTATGCTCCGAATATCACATGTGAGATTAATATTTGGAACCCGACTCGCATCCGAGTTTAAAGCTATTTGACCAAAATTTTTTATAAAGCAGAATCACTGAAAAAAAAAAGGAAGATATGAAACAAATTTAACTTCTTAACGCACTAGTACGTGGCCCGTGCGATGCACGGGAAAATAATATTTTGATTGTATTATAAATTAAATAAATAAATAACATTAATCATGATTTACCCATTATTTATAAATTAAACCGGGTTGGACACAGTCCGACCGGATGGACCGAGAACCGGTTTATAACCGATTTAGTGCGCTTGAATAAAGTATTTGCTATCGAATCCGCCAACACCAGTATGTTGGACTGGTAAGATCGATACGATTTTCTAAACAAATTTTGTTACATGAAAAATTATTTTAAATAAAATTACATATTTAAATAAAATAGAGATTTATAAATTGTTTATCAATTAGTTTAAACATTTGAATTTATAAATTGTTTAGATATTTAAGTAACACTTTCTATTTAAATTTATTACAAAGAGTACTATATATATATATATATATATATTAAAGTATTATGTATTAAAATCTGAACAACTACAAGACGGTGCGATTTTGAAAACCTTATATTTACCGTACATTAATAAAAATGATAATGAAATAAATAATTTGTTCACATAAATAATAATAAAATGATATATAAATATTCATAAATCATTAATCATTTTGTCATAAAAGTATTGTTAATATGATTATTTGAAGTTTGAACGACATTACATTCACGTAATAAAGTATTTTCAATATTAAAATTTATATTTAGGTTCAATAATCAATTTGGTCTGGTCAAACTGATACATAACTTAATTACCTAGGACCAACCAAGTTATGTCAAGTTTTTTTTTGACTATTTTAAATATCACCTAAAAGTAATTCAATCAAAGTGGACAGTACCCTAATTCAATCACCCGATTGATCCAAAGTAATTTCCTTATTTTCTTTAAATATAATATTTAATTTTATGAAATAAAAATATTTTATCATTCATATGTCTACATCAAATGATAGTATATTAAGATTATAAATTATATATCCAAAGATGAACTATTTATTTTTATTTTATGCATATTAATAAAAAATAAACATAGTAATTTTAAAAAAATTAAGATTAATTGATTGGGTATGCAATTTAAAAAATATTTTTAGCGTTCAATATATATATATATATATATATTTAACATGATTGAATTTTTGGATTAGAATATATATATTTAAAATAATTTTATTATTAAAAGTCAAAAAGAAAAGATGGCATAAAGATTATAACTTTGAAAAGTTTGTAACCATTAATTTATGAACTCTCCGATTTTAAATGACTTATAATTTTTGAAACATGATACGTACATTTAAAACCCATTAATTTAGGAACCATCTAATTTTTTGATAAAATTAAAATTAAAATGTAAAATGTAAAAGTTGCTGAAAATAGTATATAATAAATGTGGTTGACTTTTCCTTACTACTATTTATGTTAAATGTTAATTATTATTATATATATATAGATATGACTTCCAAAGGTAGCAATATCCAATTGTCGATTTTAAAAATCTGCTTTTTGGACGACCTAGGCTCGCAGTTCCAGTTCCTAGCCTGAATCGATCCCTCTTGCTGAGACAAAAACAGAAAAATCGAAAATTTTGAATTTCGACGTTCGAAACGTCGGGTTTTAGTCAAACCCTTCCAAATCATTCTCTCTCTCCCCGGTGTCCCTTCGGGGACATCTGATAAAATTGTAACGATACAGAGAAGTGCGCAGGATGACACGCATAAATCGAGAAACGGGCTCTCTCCGCCAAAGGTCGCTGCCGACGATGCCGAAATCAAAAGCAATAGGCCAGGTTACTCGCCGTCACATGCTTCAATTGGTTGATATGTTCCTTTGAATTCCTATCGAAATTTGATTTTTTAATGTTGGTGGACTTCCATTCAGTGACTCTATCGAAGACGAAGAAGAAAGGACGAGAGCATAAAGAAAATGTGGTGAGCGCGATACGAGATGCTGCGGAGAAGTACGCATCGGCTTATGTTTTCACTTTCGCGAACATGAGGAATCTCAAGTTCAAGGAGTTCAGGGAACGGCTGAACTCGTCAAGCAGTTTGGGTAGCTAATTATCCGTTCAGATTTTTTTGTTGTGGTTGACGTGTGCCTTTTCGTGTCTGAGTGTAAAAACCCTTCTTCTTCGCCATCATGACTCATGATCACCACAATACGTCTTTCAGACCCGGTTACGGGATTTACAGAAATGTAGCAGACGATTTCATAAATTCGGACATGAGCTGTTATTTTGGAGAGATATCGATATTATGCTGAACTGTAGGCTAGCTTTGGTCTGAATTCATCAGTTTTTTTTTTTGGTTGGAATTCATCAGTTTACCGACAACTATGAACTTAGATGTTCTGTATTTTTTTTTTATTCAAGATTCGGATACTTTAAGGTTGCAAAGTGTAGGCAGAAAGATTTAATATAAGTAGCCTTCATCTCTTGATAGCGTAGGTTGCTTTAGGGCATTGTCCATGATAAAGTTATAAAAGTTTCCCCTTTTGGGTCATCTGTTCTTATGGGATCCTGCAGTTTTAATTCTACAAATTCAGTGTTAATTACCATTTCCTTTTCCATAATTGGTTTTGCATACTCTTATCTGCGTTCTCTTTACATACTTAATACTTTGGTTTCTAGTTCCTACAACAGGGTCAGTTAACTACAACAAACTGATTAATTTGTGATTTCTATGCCCTAGATTTTTTCTAGGTTCGAACAAGGTTATGCAGATTGCATTGGGTAGGTCTGTTGCTGATAAGATCAAACCAGGCATTCACAAGGTCTCAAAGGTATACGATGGGCTTCTCTGCATGCCAACCTTGTACCACTCTTAGTTATCACTTCTACTTGCAATATATATACAGTCCATCTGTACGGGTTGACTGATGAAATTTCACTATAAACTCACATCTTTCTTGGTGTTAATTTTTTTCTATGTAGCTTATGCGAGGAGATTCAGGACTTTGTTTCACTAGTTTGCCTAAAGAACACATTCAAAGGTCTGTCTTTGAAGTGTTATTCATAATGTGTGCTGACGAGAAAAGTTTTTCATTAAAGAACTCACCTGCACTTCTTGGATTTTTCTGATGACATCTAAGATATATAGTACTTCTCTGAGATTAACTTGATAAGAAGTTCTGAATCTTAGAAAGATGACATCTGTAGTTGTACGGTGGATACTATTTTTTTATAATTTTTCAGCTACAGAAACTAAGAATACTTTTCATTCCACAGGCCTTTTATTAATATTTGCTTAATCCTTGTGGGCTTTCGTCAGATTATTTGGTGAATATGAAGATTATGACTTTGCTAGGACTGGAAGCGCTGCAACAGAGACGGTAAAGATCTTACTCTACTAGTTTTGTGTAACCAGATAGCTTTTCTTGTGTTACAAATCATGATAGTGGGCTTGATCTTGATTAGAGAATTTAGGTGTGCTGTTCGTGTGTGTGTGTGTGTGGTGGTTATGGGTAAAAATATTTCTTAATTTGGTTGTTGGGTCATGTATGGCTTAACTAAGATAACTGAGAAAATTTAAATGTCATACATGGTTGTAACTTCAGTAAATTTTATTTCCATCATTCTACTAAGACCCTGATGTGATTTTTGTTCACATGTGGGAGTTCAATATATGTATTTGGATGAATGCGAGTGAGAAAATATGTAGGTTAAGAAACATGAATTGAGGCAGGGGTTGTCTTCATTAATTAGAGGTCATTGAGATGTGCCAGTGAGGTTGGTTGATGAACGGTTACAGAAGTAGCGAACCTCTTCCCAAAGCATCATAACTCAAATGTGAACCTTACCCACTGCATATAGGAAAATAATCCCTAGGCTATGTTTGGTAGCCAAATAAGCTAGCTTATAGCCAAAATAATCCCTAAGCCTCGTTTGGTAGGACGAGCTTTTTTAAAAAGCTCGAGCTTATCTCATAAACTTCTTTAGGTGGCTTTTCAAATAAGCTAGTTGAGTTTTTTATTTCAGCTAGCTTATAAGCTAATTTTTCGAACACTTTTATCATATAAGCTAACTTTTCAGCTATAAGTCATAAGTTATAAGCTATAAGCTCAAAAATTACATATAAGCTAACTAACTTATCAGCTATCAGCTAGCTTATCACCTAGTTTTACCAAACATAGCCCTAATATTTCTCATGTTGGTTGGTTTTTTAGGTGGATCTGAAAGAAGGTCCTCTGGATCAATTCACCCATGAAATGGAACCATTCTTGCGCAAGCAGGGAATGCCTGTTCGATTAAACAAAGGTATGTCATGTGTCTATTTTTCTGTATATTGTTTTCTGTACTTGGTGTTTGTGTATAGCTCTCTATACGTGTTTTAATCATACAAATTTATATGCAGGGGCTGTGGAGCTTGTGTCAGACTGTTCTGTGTGAAGAAGGAAAACAATTATCACCGGAATCAGCTCGTATTCTGGTTAGTCAATAGTGTTTAAGCTGGTTATGAGACTCACTTCAGAGAAAATTGTAAAACGCAGTATTTTCTGCATTTATATTAACATATAATCATATTCAGTCAGATATACCTTACTAAAACGTTGTTGAATGAAGTGTCTTCTTATCAAACTTTTGAAGATGTGATATTTGCTCTTTTGTTTCTTATTATGATTAATATAATTCAGTTTATTTGCTCTCGGTATTGAAAATATGGGTCTTGTTCTACAGCGTCTTTTGGGAGTCAAGATGGCCACCTTCAAACTTCACTTGGTATGCCGATGTAGCTTGGAGGACTTTGAGGTTTACAAAGAAGGGTTGGCAGATACTGTAGCGGGGGAGAGGTTGATTATCATATGTGTTGTGTTCTTTTAAGGGGTCTTAAAATTATCGGCTTCAGGATCGGAAAATTGCCTGTTTTTGAGTGTATCGTGTGTTTTCAATGTAAATTCATTTTTTGCTGTCCAGATTGTGGCAGTAGGTTGGCTTGCAAAGTATCAATGCTGTAACCGTGGGGTTTCATTTCTTTTTTCTCTCATAAATCAACAGTGTATAAACAGATGAGAAGTTCTTAATTAGCTCTGAGTACATGTTTGGTTGAAACAGTGGTAAAATGAGTCAATTATTTAATTGAAATGTAAGACTCAATATGAAATTTAATTAAAATGTAAGACTCAATATGAAACAGCTCTGAGTACANGACTCAATATGAAATCCCGTTTGATGGTTTTGCATTTATTTTATCAATTTAAATAAATTATTTTCACTTATTGAACCTTTCAAATGTACAATTGCCTATATTTGTTGGTAAAATATTTATATCTATACCACCTTAAAAGGATGAGTGTTTTTGTAAAAAAATGAACTACTTAAAATACCTTTACTTTGATATATTTTTAATGACAAATTAATAATACACTAATAAGCATCCTATCTTACATTTTTAATTAATAACTAATAATTACTTAAAAAACTTTTACATTGACATATTATTAATGACAAATTAGTAATACACCAATACCCATCCTATCTTATATTTACAATTAATAACTAATATTTAATTAATTAAATATAAATATAAGAACAAAAATTCCACATCTCCTAAAAACCACCCACACTATTCTCGCACCATTATTTCTCACAAATTTGCATTATTTCACGTGTTATAAATATCTATTAATGAGATATAAATACACGAACAAAACATTCCACATCTCTTCAAAATCAACAACAATATTCTCGAACGATTATTTGTCACGAATTTGTCTTTTTTCACATATCTTCCAAACTGTTTTCTTCCATATCTCCTAAAAATCAACCCAACATAAACCAAACGACAAAACTTTGAAAGGATATAAAATTGTTGTTTTGAAAGACATCCTTATTTTTAATATAATTAAATGGTAAAATCATAATCATATTTAATAGTTCTATTATATAAAAGTTTTTCAAAGAAAAATGATCTAACAAAAACAACATAATATATACTTGTAGGCTAAGTTTGGATTGAAGGATTTAGTGAGGGATTTAAAATCCATAAATTTCAAGTTTACAAGTTCAAATCCTCATGCATGTTGGGATGATAATGGAAGTTGGAGGATTTCAAATTCATGCTAGATGTTTTTTAGTCATTATTTTGAAGGATTTGAAATGACTCATCAAACCTAGTCATTTGAAATCCACTGTTTATCACCGTTGACGACCACGCCGTCCGCGATCATTTAAGTTCATCACAACCGCGAGTGATGGAGATGAGGCCGCGTTAGCGTTTCTACAGAAATATGTCTGTCTTCGAGTTTAGATTATTTATTTTACCGGTCTTTTTCATTTGTCGGATTTATATTCATTATCATTTTTAGTTTTGTTATTTCTATTAGTGGGCCAGTTAATTATTTAATAAGGCAGTTATTTTAGGAAGTTAAAGAGTAGTGGGCTCTTCTTATTTGTACCTACGCAGTGAACAGAAATCTCATTCATCGTATTATCATTTTGAGAAAACAGTGAACTGTTCTTGTGTTCTTATTCCCTTTCGCATACATCCTCTACATCAGTTGGTATCAGCAGACCAGTCGACGATCCACGATGCCGCCGAAGAAGAACAATACCGTGAACGACAACTCCGTTGACGAGCGATTTCTGAGAATCGACGACTATTTCATCGGAATTGACGAACGATTCACGGATATCACGACGGGAATTGATGAATTGCGACTGACAATGCGTACAATGATGGACGAGATGCGACGAAATCGCGATGCTACTGGCCGGGGTACTCGCGAGGGACAACGTGGTGGTCGGGGAGGTCGAGGGTTTGGTGGGGCGCCCCGTCAATGATCGCCACAACCACCGCCGACCGGTGGCGATTCCGACGACACCATGACGGTAGATAACACTTTCGCCAACGGAGGGTTAGGGGTTCATGGACATGGTGGCGGCGGGCGAGGGTTTGAGCCAGGGTGGCGTGACGGCGGCGATGGACGCTGCGCGAGGGGTCCGTGGCAGGTCGGAGGTGAGGCGGAGGACGATGGCTATTTCCGTCGGGGATGGCCGCAGTCCGACGACGAAGGGTGGGATGATGACGGAGGTTACCGGCGTCGGGGTCGCGGGCCTGGAGCAGCTGCTGGTTTCCACAGACGCGGCCGCTTCGGTGATAGCGAAGGGGCGGATGAGACGTGGCAGCAGCGGTGTGAGGGTCGGCGCCCGATAGAAGGTGGCGAGGACTCGCGTTGGGAGTTTTGGGTTGACATCCCAGAATTTCATGGTAGTGTGGAGCCGGGAGATTTTGTTGATTGGTGGGCCACAGTGGAACCAGTTTTGGCATTTCAGGCGATCCCAGAAGAGAAGCGTGTCGCATTCGTTACTACTCGCTTTCGTGGTCGAGCTGCGACTTGGTGGATGCATATTACGAGTTTGCGGCATCGTCAAGGGAAGTCTCCGACTATTTCATGGATGAAATTCCGTAAGTATGTGGAGGACGAGTTTTTACCTTTTAATTATGACAGTGTAGTATATCAGCAACTACATAACTTGAGACAGGGAACTCGTTCGGTTGATGACTATACGAATGAATTTTATCAACTGTTGAATCGTGTTGAGGTACGGGAGACAAAGACCCAGTTGATTTCACGGTATGTTAGTGGGTTGCGAATTGCCATACAGGACATGTTAAATCTTGTACGACCGGAGTCTGTTTCGGATGCACATCAACGAGCCCGGTTTGTCGAGCAACAACTAGCTCGGAAAACGGGCTCGAGTTTTCCCTCTACCACGCGGGCAGGACCATCTACCGGTGGGGTCCAACAACAGGACAGATTTTTCCCGTCTTCGGGTAGCGGAGCTAGCCCAACGACGGCAGCCGGGCGTTTTTCGGGGGCTGGGACCGGACCACAGCGGCAGCCGGGGGTGAGTGGGCCGCCGCCAGCGGCGACGGGACAGCGTCGCGGTCTGCGGTGCTTTGGGTGCGGGGCGGTCTGCGGTGCTTTGGGTGCGGCGAGTTCGGCCATCACCAATCGGCCTGTCCACGGGGTTCGACCTCTCGTGGGTTATTTATGGAGGATGGTGGCGAACATGAGGTGTCGGCAGATTACGAGGGCCCGCCAGTTTTTGATTCTGAGCCCGGGTTGAGCGAGAAACATCATAGTCGGGATATGGGCTTGGCACTGGTCCTTCGTAGAGTGTGTTTGACACCTCGGTCTTCCATTGATGAGCCTGTTGAACGTCATCAGATTTTTGAGTCCACTTGCACTATTGACAACAAGGTATGTCGCTTTATTATTGATTCTGGTTCGTCTGAAATGTTATATCACAGGAAGCGGTGGACCTTACAAGTTGGCCTGGATTCACCGTGACCGTGCGATTACTGTGAACCGTCGGGCTCTTGTTTCATTATCTATTGGGGCGACGTACCGAGACCAAGTGTGGTGCGATGTAGTACCTATGGATGCATGCCACTTGTTGCTCGACAGACCATGGCAGTATGACATCGCTGCTACTCTCGACTGCAGACGTAACACTTACAGCTTCACTTTTGCCGGTGTTCGGATTACGTTGCATCCGAGTCCTATACATCCTTCGCCACCTTCCGGTTCTTCGACTGTCCTTTTTCTTTCTCGGGCAGCATTTGAGATTGAGATGTAGGCGGCACTGTTTGTTCTTTTGGTGACTGGGTCGGACGCTCAGGAGGACCAGGAACCGCCCTTGGCTATTCAGTCTTTGCTCTCAGAGTTTGCTGATGTTTTTCCCTCGGAGCTTCCTTCCGGGTTGCCACCTCTTCGGGATATTCAACATCATATTGACCTGATTCCGGGGGCTTCATTGCCGAACCGTCCCCACTATCGGATGAGCCCGGTAGAACACGAGGAGCTGCGGCGGCAAGTGGAGGAGCTCCTCTAGCGTGGTGTTGTTCGCCGGAGTCTGAGTCCATGTGCAGCACCGGCCTTATTAATCCCGAAGAAGGACGGAGGTGCGTAGACAGTCGGGCCATCTACAAGGTCACTGTCAGGTATCGCTTTCCTATTCCTCGTTTAGATGACCTGCTTGACCAGTTGCACGGTGCCACTATCTTCACCAAACTGGATCTTCGTAGTGGGTACCACCAGATTCGAATTAGGCCAGGAGATGAGTGGAAAACGGCCTTTAAAATTCGAGAAGGCCTTTTTGAGTGGATGGTCATGCCTTTTGGCCTTTCCAATGCTCCGAGTACCTTTATGCGGATCATGAATCAGACTTTGCGGGACCTTATTGGCAGGTGTGTCGTCGTTTATTTCGACGACATCCTTATTTATAGTCGCACAGTGGAGGAGGATGTGGCGCACGTTCGGGAGGTTTTGCTTATTCTTCAAGCAGAGTCCTTTTATGCAGCCCCGAAGAAGTGTCTTTTCATGGTGGACTCAGTTCTATTTTTGGGATTCGTGATCTCAGCTACCGGGATACGTGTGGATGACAGCAAAGTGGAGGCCATTCGTGACTGGCCTACACCGACGACTGTCACTGAGGCACGTAGCTTTCATGGCCTGGCTTCGTTCTATCGACGATTCATTTCCCACTTCAGCTCCATAATGGCTCCGATCACTGACTGTCTCATGGGGAAGGCTTTTATCTGGACAGAGGCAGCGGAGGGGGCCTTTGCTCTCATCAAGAGCAAATTGACATCTGCACCCGTTCTAGTTGTACCTGACTTCTCACGACCATTTGAGCTTTCGTGCGACGCATCGAAGGTCGGCATCGGTGCTGTTCTTAGCCAAGACGGACGTCCAGTTTCTTTCTTCAGTGAGAAGTTGTCGGGCCTCAGGTCACGATATAGCACGTATGATGTTGAGTTTTATGCTGTGGTGCGTGCTGTGCGGCATTGGCGACACTATCTTTTTCACCGGGAGTTCGTTTTGTATACCGATCACGAAGCCCTTCGCCATCTTGCCTCACAGGATAATATCTCGGCGCGCCATGCTTCGTGGACAGCCTTCCTTCAGCAGTTCACGTTTGTCCTTCGGCACCGGTCGGGCACTTCGAACAAAGTAGCCGATGCCTTGAGCCGTCGTGTCCTGTTGATGTCCGAGATGCGAGTGTAGGTGATTGGCTTTGAGGTACTTCGTGATGTCTATCCTGCTGACCCTTTCTCTGGGCCTGTTGTGACCCGTTTGGGGGACGGCCCTTTTGAGGACTATACGTTATCTGAGGGGTTTTTGTTTCGAAGGGTTCGTCTGTGTGTTCTGGACTGCAGTTTGCGGCTGAAGCTTATTGCCGATCTGCATAGCACCGGCCACGTGGGCCGTGACTGGTCCGTCGAGTTGGTGAGTCGTTCTTATTTTTGGCCGTCTCTGCGTCGTGATGTTGGGAGGTTTGTGTCTCGCTGTCCTATCTGCCAGGTGTCGAAGGGGGTTGCAACTAATGCCGGCTTGTACCGACCCCTACCTATCCCGTCGCAGCCGTGGCAGGCCATCAGCATGGATTTCGTGGTGGGTTTGCCTCGGACACAGAGGGGATTTGATTCTATTTTTGTGGTGGTGGACCGTTTTTCGAAGATGGCACACTTCATTCCTTGTAAGCGTACCTCTGATGCTGTTCATGTGGCCCAATTGTTTTTTTAGAGAGATCTACCATCTTCACGGCTTGCCTTCGGCGATTGTTTCCGATCGCGATACCCCTTTTTGAGTTATTTTTGGCGGAGTTTGTGGCACATGGCTGATACACGGCTCGACTTCAGTAGTGCCTATCATCTTCAGACGGACATTCAGACAGAGGTTGTCAATCGCTCCTTGGGGAACCTGCTTCATTGTTTGGTGGGAGATAACATTCGAAATTGGGATCAGCGTTTGAGTCAAGTGGAGTTCGCACATAATTCGGCAGTCAGCCGTGCGACTGGGTTATCGCCTTTTCAGGTGGTGTATGGCATGCATCCGCGTGGACCCTCTGCCTTGGTGACGTTGCTGTCCGACTCCAGTGGGGATCGCCGTGCGTCGGATTTCATCACCAACGTGCAGCAGACACATGCGGCGGCCCGGGCCCGTTTGGAGGCGGCTACAGCTTCTTATAAGAAGCAGGCTGATACTCGTCGTCGTCACGTGGAGTTCGAGGTAGGTGATTTTGTTTGGGCTGTTTTGACTAAGGACCGATTTTCTGCTCATGAGTATAACAAACTGTCTGCCCGGAAAATTGGTCCAATTGAGATTGTGGAAAAGATCAATCCCAATGCATACCGTCTCAGGATCCCGTCGCATATTCGCACATCGGATGTTTTTAATGTCAAGCATTTGGTGCCGTTCGTGGGCGACAACTCAGACGAAGACGAGGCCCATTCAAATTCGAGGGCGAATCCTCTTCAACCCGGGGAGGATGATGGAGACGAGACCGCGTTAGCGTTTCTACAGAAATATGACCGTCTCCGAGTTTAGATTATTTATTTTCCCGATCTTTTTCATTTGTCGGATTTATATTCATTATCATTTTTAGTTTTGTTATTTCTATTAGTGGGCCAGGTAATTATTTAATAAGGCATTTATTTTAGGAAGTTAAAGAGTAGTGGGCTCTTCTTATTTGTACCCACGCAGTGAACAAAAATCTCATTCATCGTATTATCATTTTGAGAAAACAGTGAACTGTTCTTGTGTTCTTATTCCCTTTCGCATACATCCTCTACATCAGCGAGTCAACACCATCAGTGCGAGCTACACAATTGATTTATAATATTTTCAACACATCCATTCAAGGAGTGTGAAGTAGAAAAATTTATATTTAAAAAATTTTGAAATCAAGAGATTTCAAATCTCTCAAAACAAACGGAGCCATAAAGAATTCAAATATTTTCAACTATTTATTCACATATCTACAATTTTAACAAAACGATAAATCTTGGTAAAAAGAGACAACTTAGTTTGGGAGTAACTTGTATACAAGAAATAATTTCAAAGATATATACATAACTTCAATTAAGAGAAGATAACGAATATTTTACGAAATTACACACACGTGAAATGTATACATTATCTAACAAACTTCAAGAGTGGAACAATTCATTTAACTACTTCACTATTTAAGAAAATAAACTCTTCTATTTAGAATTAGAATTAAAAATTACACCTTAGACTTATTGGATGGAATTTTAATCCCATGAAAATCGTCATTTATTTGTTTGCTTGTTTGTTTGTTTGGTTTTTTTTTTTTTTTTTTTT